CATCATAGACATCATCAATTACGGTTGCCATTGCTATTACTTTTGATAGAATCTTTCTAGCAAGACCATATTGAGGCTCAAAATACACCCCCACGATCCAGAAATAGCCCTCAACAATTCGATCTCTAGCAAATGGAAGCTTTCTTGCAAAGTCCACTTCTTTCCACCACCTGAATTACGCTTGCTTGAATTAATTGATTACAGATTTACATAATCTGCAGAACAGAATGAGTCTCACTGCTCATTTATTTTTTTGAGAAACAATTATTTTGAAGAGACTTACAAGGATAATTCATGTAGCTCCTCCTTGTGCAGAGATTGTAGCATGTTGAAATCCAACTTAGCCAACTTTAGTAAAGTTATATTAGGTGAATGATCTTTTCCATATATGGATATGTAATTTCTGGCCTCCAATCTTGGTAAACCCCTCCAATTAGGTTGCATTAGTGCGTGACTTACTAGCTCGTCAAGTGGACTGTTTAACTTGTTTGATATTGACTGAAGATGATTACTACTAAAAGCCAAAGCATGATCTAAAATGTCGTCGCCGTGCAATCTGAGATGAGTTGCTTCATAAAGTGCAAGAATGCCCGGCACATCATTAACCAAACCTTCTCCAAATTTACCTTCATCATCCACGAATTTCTTGAATATGTTTGCATAGAAGAAAAAAGTTTCTCTTTCTTGCGTTTTGTGATAAAAGACGAGGAAAGAAAGTCAGCATTTGAGGATCTTGTGATTTAAGGTTTAAATCTTTTAGCTTTTAACCCCTTACCTGATGAAACTCTGAATCCTTCTTGTCGTAGAATACGAAAATAGAGAGCAGCAGTATAAATGTGGTCAATGTTCTCCCAGTTCTGATGTTTCTCATGCATTTTGCGTAAAGCATGATTGATCTCCTCTTGAAAATGATATTCTACACCTAGTCGTTGAATCGCATCAATCAATTGCAGCTGTTGTGAAGGATTACTGGCAGTTGCACAAATTTCTGTTCTGACATCTTCCTTCAGCTGCTCAAGCTGCCATTTCTTAGAAGCCCATGTTGCCTGCAGAAAACAAAAATGTATAATTGATGAAGTTAAGGTTTCTTTAAATCATGTACGTAGTTGCTTATCTGCAGAATAAAATTATAATAATGATGAGGACAAAAAATCAGCTTAAAACATGCAAGAAAATTTCTTAGAAGCATAGTATATTTGATAAGTCGCCAAGTTTGCTTTCCTTGACTAGGCTTTTTGTGTTTTAGCTCTGGCTAAACTATAGTACTACCTTGTCGGAATCAGGGGAGTAGACGAGGAATTGATTTCCCCAGATATTGGGATGAAAATTTGCCAAAGGACGATGAGGGAAATCATTTTGGATTGAAATGGAATAATCTAATTCATGACCTTCAACTTCCATTTTTAAACTTTTTTCGGTTCAGTCAAAGACTATATTAGCTCGGATTATAGAACTGGGGACTATTCGAATTGCTAGATTGCTTAGTTTTTTTTTTTTTTTTGAAGAGAATACTTTCAAAGGCAGGTTGCTTAGTGTGATGGTGTCTCAAATTGCATATTTATAGGCAGACTAGACTCTCAAATCAGAAGTATTTGTGCGATGGGTTGTTTGAGGGGTAGAAGAATAACTCAGTACTCCTGTGCTGTCCTTGTCCAATCTACGCTAAATTAAGGCAGCCATGCACAGCCACAAAAGAATTCTAGGAATCTTGCATTCGTACGTTTTCCACGTGACGTTCACAAATTGATGACATCAGATGATTACGTGTTGAAAAATGGTGCAGCCAAGCTTTCTGGACTACGTGGACATTTTTTCTTCATGCAGCTAGAAATATCAATGAATCGGGTCTTATTCAAATCTAATCCAGATCCAATGTACTTATGTAGAATTTGAATTTAATTTTTTAAATTCAAATTCTATCCAGATCTAGACCTTATAAAAGAGTTATGATAGAATTTGATTTTTTATGATTCATATACGAATCCAAACCCTATTCAGCCCCAACCAAATCTACGTGTGTGTGTGTGTATATATATATATGTAAATTTATAAAATATTCTAATATTATAAAATTATTGGATCGAATACAGTAAGATTTCATTATTTTAATCTCATCCTAGTTGTCATTGAAATTAGTACAATTTTTTTAGAAAAAAAAGGAAAAAGTAAAGGCCAATAAATGAAGGATTTGACGTAGATACAGTTGAAGTTTTAAAAATAAATAGAAGTAGTCGATAGTAGTTATTTTCTTGAGTTTATAATATTGCATTCAACTTCTTCAATATTAATTTTATTATTTAAAAATAAAAATTGGATGGTATTTATATTTTTTTTGAAGTTTATATATTTTTAATATATTTTTATTTTAGTGTGTTTACAAAAATACAATGGATATCCATTAGATACCCAGATTCAGGAGGATCTGTGTTTGGACTTATTTTCACGTAGGGCAATGTTGCACTGGTGATGTATCAGTGGACTTAGTCCAACTTGTATATACTTTGATAACTATGAATAAAAACTCCTATCGTTTCGCAAAAAAAACAAAAGATAATTACGTGTTGAAAAATGGTGCTGCCAAACTTTGTCAGCTACGTGGCCATTTTTTCTTCACCCATTTACTGTCTTATTTGTTATTTGTAGCAAGGCATGTTAATCGATCAGATCTTATTCAGATCCAACCTAGACCCAATGTAAGGGTAAAATTTGGATTTAATTTCTCAAATCTAGATATTATCTAGACATAGATCCTGTAAAAGAGTTATAAGTTTGAGTAGGGTCTAATTTTCTATGATACATATTCAAATTCAAATTCAAATCTATACAAACCCACCTAGATCCATGTGTGTGTGTGTGTATATATATATATATATATTAATAAATTTATAAAATATTCTAATATTCTATGATTATTGGATCGAATACATTAAGATTTCATGATTATATTCTTTTTTCAACATCATCCTAGTTGTCATTGTAATTAGTAGTACAATTTTTTTCAAAAAACAAGAAGAAAATGTGAAGGCAAATAAATGAAAGATTTGACGTAGTTACAGTTGAAGTTTTAAAAATAAATAGAAATAGTCGATAATAGTTATTTTCTTGAGTTCATAATATTGCATTCAATTTTTTGAATATTAATTTTATTATTTAAAAATAAAAATTGGATTGTGTTTGTATAACTTTTATGAAATCTATATATTTTTAATATATTTTTATTTTAATGCGTTTACAAAAATACAATGGATACCCATTCGATACCCAGATTCAGGAGGGTCTGGGTTTGGACTTATTTTTTCAGGCCTGTAAGGATTTGGGTCTGGATTTGAGTTTGGGTCTAACTAAATTTAATGGGTTTGATTTTGAATCAAAGAGATCCAATTCAGATGATTTTGAATCAAAGAGATTCGATTCAAATCCTACCCATTGACTTACCTACTTGTAGCTCTACTATTGTTTTGAAGGCTTTAGCAGTCAAAAAATTCAGCAACAACTCCTGTACAAATGGTGCTTTCATGTGACAGGATTTTTCTAATAAATAGGGAGCTTTTCTAAGGATTTTAACAGCCCACTGTCACATTTCTTTCCAAAGCCATCCGAGAGAATTGAGAGCTCAAGTTAGAAATCTTTCTTGTTTGTTCAATCTTGAGTTTCTCTTTTGTATTTGTCTCTCATTTGTGTTAGGCTAGAAATTTTATCGTAAGCTTTATATTCTTCTTCATTGTAGTAGATTTTGCGCACTGCCTCTTGTGAATGTAGATCTAATTGACCGACTCATGTAAAATTTCGTGTTATTGTCTTTCATTATTTTTCTCCGTACGTCTTGTTATAGCCTTTGTTATCACTGTTTGTGAGTTGTCAAATTAACTTTTCATAATTACCTGGAAATAGATCCTAACAAACTCAAAACGAGGTTATTCCGAGCTAAGTTTTCTAACAACCATTATGACAATAATGAAAACATCCTACCTATTAAAAGCGACCAAGGCTGAGGAACAATGCCGTGTTGTCCCTCCCTGGTGTTCTGATGGTTGCTTCGTGATTTCCTCCAAATTTAGGGGCAATTTGTGCGTGTCGTTTTTCTTGCTGTCTGCTTTCTATTTTTTCACCGTTTTTTTTAACGGACGCATGTGTGTGTTGGGTCGATTGTTAATGGCCTTCTCAACTGCGGTTTATTTCGGTTTTGCCTCGGATGGATTCCAAGAAAAAATTTAGTGATTGTTAGGTCAGTGCTTTTGTGGTTTCATGTGTGTTTAGTGATTGTTAATGCCTTCCTAGCCATGGTTTATAAATTTACATTAACAATTTAGTAAGAGTTTCGCTTGCATTCCCAACCAAAAAAATCTGCTCCAAATTTTGATTACGTTCTTGACCAGAAAAAAAATAAAGAGTCGCTTAAGTGACCACTTAGATAACACTATTTTTTGCAAGATGTATTAGCTAAAAAATAGAAGCTTCCTTCATTGCACACTTATTTAATAGTTTTTGGATACATTAATTATTACTATTTTTATTAGCAATTTGATGTGGGTTTGCTTTCCAATAGATAAGAATTTGGTTTGTACCTTGTGGCCCACAATGTCATCCCGAAGCCTGCAAATGATTGATGCAGCTCTTATGATATCAGGGTCATTTGATGCCCAATCGAAGCTCTCCTTCGTGACAATATCCCCCATGCCCAGGAAGGATATTATCTCCCAGGGCATCATCTAAAATATTATCCTCGTGCGTTCTGAGATGAGCAGCTTCATAAAGTTCAATTTTGTGGTTTTCGTGATATGGGACAAGGAGAAAAATGTCAATTGCTTTGATGTTTCTATGATTTAAGGTTTGATAGTATAACCTTGTTGTTCTTTGACTCTTACCTGATGAAATTCTGACTCGTTCTTGTCTTAGAATTCAAAAACAGAGAGCAGCAGTGTAAATGTGGTCATTGCCCTCCCAATTCTGCAATTGTCCACCAAACTCTTTCGATTAATTTTCACTTGAAAAGAAACAAATTCTCCTCCAAATCCCTGCGGAGACGTACCCATTTGCCATTATACTTATTTACATCTCTAAGAGTAGTAATTTATTATTACACATGCACGACATCTATCAATTCCATTAACACCTCTTTTCTTTTCCAAAAGAGATTATTCACTAACGATTAGGCTTTGAGTACCATTTTTTTTTCCTTACAATCAATTATTGATTTATTACTTGTTATATTACTTGTCCGAGGTTGGGCTCAATGAACATTAAATTGATGTAACTTCGCGTGAATTCTCCCACATATATATGTTCGTCAGCATCCATCAAACATGCCAGATTGACCACTCAATGGAGGACAGCCTTGGGGGGTTACAAGATTGGAATATTGAATTGACGTAACTTCGCATGAATTCTCCCACGTGTATATTCATCAACATCTATCACGGATCCCAAGTTGACACCTAGAAGGAGGACAGCCTTGGGAGGAAAATTTCAGCTGCAGCAGATCCAGGAAGGAGTACTGGGGTCAAGGAGTTTGTTGGTTCATGAGCTTCCACGCATGCCCGATTTGTCGGCAAAGTTCCTCAGATGCTTGCTGCTCTATTACACTGTGTTGCTTCACCTAGGATTCCACTGCTGAAGCAGTGTTTGCCATTTCTTGTTCAAACTGCAAGTATCAAATATTCAAATAGTCATAGTTGACATTGTTAGTTGCCTTAGATTGATATAACCAAATATATGTTAGTTTCTCCATGTTACAAAATAAAGTTTCTCCATGAAACAAATAAGGGTCATTTATAATTCGATTTGTGTTTCCGGTGAGTAAGACTAATTAGTGACAAAGTATTAAGTTAATAAAATCATTATTAGTGTCCCAACAAGACAAGATTAAGTAAAGTTGAAACTGTGACTAATTTGGGAGTAAAATGAAAAATTTTTAGTAAACTTCAGTTTTATCAAAAATTTTAGCTGCTCCAATAATAGTCCAACAAAAGTAAATAACACCAAACTCATTCGACAGAAATACAACAACTAGTAACATTTGAAGGAAGTTATATTCTACTGGTTTGAAAAATAAGAAAATTGGAAGACAGATGGCTTACATGAAGGGGAGAAATATATAACTGCAATCTACGCAGTCAAATGAAAACTCATGCGCAAATAATGAAGAAAAGGTGAAAATTTTTCTCCAACGGTGATACGAACGTCGCCAACCTTGTGACGAAACCCGTAAAAGATTAGATTCAGGATCGACAAGAGGACACCAAGTTTGGAGCGGATGACCTCAACCCGTTAATCACGTGGTTAACGAACCTTGGTATAATGGTAGAAGACGCCACAACCTAGTGCGATTCTAGATTGATAAGTCACGAACACCTAGAGAAATTCTAAGGTATTCAAGAAGCCTTGGAGAAACCAAGAAAACTCTCAAAATCTGATTTATTCATTGAATGCCTAAAACCATTGGAAGTGTGGGCTATTTATAGCCTTACATAGAGATGAACAACTAAATGTGGAACTAGTCTAGAGTTGTGGTCTTGACTAAGACTAACAATTGTAGGCTTGACTATTTCCATAAGACTAAGAATTGTGGGCTTGACCAAACCTTATGAGGTCATCCCTTAGGTAAACAACCTTATGAGGTCATCCCTTAGGTAAACAACCTTATGAGGTCATCGCTTAGGTAAATAACCGTATGAGGTCATCGCTTAGGTAATTAAAGCAAGACTATGGACCATTAATCCCTTATTACAATGACTTAACTAAAACAGCAAATGTGACTAGAGAAGGGTCACACATGGTTCTCTTTGACGTGCACTACATGGATGACTTTCATTCCTTCATGCTCAAGACTCTCAATGACCTTGGGGACAATTTCTTGGCCTTGTATCTCATGAACAAGTCCTTGGAGTTCCTCCCTCATCTTGTTAGCTCGTGCTCGAGTTACGGGTCCTAGGGGAACTCGAATAGTTCGCAATGGTGTCTCTTGGTTCGTATCATCCCCCTCCTCTTCAAAAGGATTTGTCCTCAAATCAGCTTCATCGTCTGCAAGAAAAGGAGATAGATCAGAGGCATTGAATGTAGCGCTCACATTGTACTCACCAGGTAGGTCCAGTTTGTAAGCATTGTCATTGATGCGCTTGATGACTTGGAACGGCCCATCTCCTCGGGGAAGTAATTTATTGCGCCTTTGGACTGGGAACCTTTCCTTGCGTAGATGTAACCACACCCAGTCACCAGGTTCAAACACAACGCGTTGGCGTCCCTTGTTAACCCGTTGAGCAACTTGGTCCATCCTTCGCTCAATGTTTAGGCGTACCTGCTCGTGTAATTTCTTGACAAAATCTGCTCGTTTAGCACCATCCATGTTAATGTGCTCAGAAGAAGGTAAAGGTGACAAGTCTAGTGGTGTTAAAGGGTTAAAACCATAGACTATTTCAAATGGTGAAAAATGAGTAGAACTATGCACCGTGCGATTGTATGCAAACTCAACATGGGGTAAACATTCTTCCCAGGTTCTAATGTTTTTTCTAATGATGGCACGCAAGAGTGTAGATAGTGTACGATTGACAACCTCAGTTTGGCCATCAGTTTATGGGTGACTAGTAGTAGAAAATAGCAATTTGGTACCCAATTTTCCCCACAAAGTTTTCCAAAAGTAACTCAAAAATTTGACATCCCTATCAGAGACAATTGTCCTAGGCATGCCATGCAATCTAATGATTTCTTTGAAAAACAAATCAGCAATGTGCGATGCATCATCTGTTTTGTGACATGGTATAAAATGTGCCATTTTTGAAAATCTGTCAACAATAACAAAGATGCTATCATTTCCCCTCTTTGACCTAGGCAACCCTAAAACAAAATCCATGGAAATGTCGGTCCAAGGTTCCTTAGGTACAGGTAAAGGACTATAAAGGCCATAGGGTTGAAGTTTAGACTTAGCTTTGTGGCAAGTAATGCATTTAGCCACCATTCGCTCCACATCTCGTTTCATCCTTGGCCAATGGAAGTGCTCTTGAAGGATAGCTAAGGTTTTAGCTACGCCAAAGTGTCCCATCAAGCCACCTCCGTGTGCTTCCCTAACAAGTAAAGAGCGAATAGAGCAGTTAGGTATACATAGTCGATTGAGGTAGAAAAGAAATCCATCAAGGATGTAGAATTTACCTTGAGTTGCTGAACCACAAGAGTCATAAATACCTGAGAAATCTGGGTCATTGGTGTATAACTCTTTGACTAATTCAAATCCTAACAACCTTGCATCAAGTTGAGTGAGCAAAGAGTACCGTCGTGATAATGCATCAGCAACAACATTAGTTTTCCCCACTTTGTACTTAATCACATAAGGGAAGGTTTCAATAAATGCAATCCACTTAACATGACGCTTATTCAACTTGTGTTGTGACTTAATGTGCTTAAGCGACTCATGGTCAGTGTGTATGACAAATTCCCTTGGTCTCAAGTAATGTTGCCAAGTTTCTAAAGCACGGATTAAGGAGTACAACTCCTTATCATAAGTGGAATAGTTCAAAGCTGCCCCATTGAGTTTTTCACTAAAGTATGCAATTGGTTTGCCCTCTTGCATTAGGACAGCTCCAATACCCACCCCAGATGCATCACACTCTATTTCAAACATCTTGTCAAAGCATGGTAATGCAAGTAGTGGTGCATGTGTGAGTTGATGTTTAAGCATTTGGAAAGCACGTACTTGAGCATCTCTCCACACAAATGGCTCATTTTTCTTAATTACAGCAGTTAGAGGTGCAGCAATGGTACTAAAATCTTTAACAAATCGTCTATAAAAACTAGCAAGACCATGGAAGCTACGTACCTCACCCACCGTGCTTGGAGTAGGCCATTCTCGAATTGCTTTAACCTTCTCCTCGTCCACTTTGATTCCCTGTTTACTCACAACAAAGCCTAGGAAGACAAGTTGATCAGTACAAAAGGAGCACTTCTTAAGGTTAGCATAGAGCTTTTCCCTTCGAAGTACATCAAGAACAAGCTTCACATGTTCAACATGCTCATCTAAGCTCCTACTATAAATCAGGATATCGTCAAAATATACAACTACAAATTTTCCAAGGAATGGACGAAGTACGTGGTTCATCAACCTCATGAACGTACTAGGTGCATTAGTTAGTCCAAATGGCATAACTAACCACTCGTACAAGCCATGTTTGGTTTTAAAGGCCGTTTTCCATTCATCCCCCTCTTTCATCCTAATTTGATGATAACCGCTTTTTAGATCAATTTTAGTGAAAATCACAGCACCATATAGCTCATCTAACATATCATCAAGTCTAGGAATAGGGTGACGATATTTTACCGTTATTGCATTAACGGCCCTACAGTCAGTGCACATTCGCCAACTTCCATCCTTTTTAGGCACCAAGATGACGGGAACCACACATGGGCTCAAGCTTTCTCGTGCCCATCCCTTTGTTAGAAGCTCTTCGATTTGGCGTTGGAGCTCCTTTGTCTCATCTGGACCCATTTTGTAGGCTGGTTTGTTAGGAAGTGGGGCACCTGGAACCAAGTCAATTTGATGCTCAATTCCCCTTATTGGTGGTAGTCCATTTGGAATCTCATCGGGGAAGACATCCTCATATTCCTGCAAAAGAGAGACAATACTAGATGGTAGAGTGTTAGTAAGATCACTTGTGACAACCAACACCTCTTTGCACAAAAGTACAAAGATGGGTGTATTAACACTCAAAGCTTTTCTTACTATATTGGCTTTTATCAATAGATTTTGCCTTTTTTCTCTCTTTTCAATTTTGGCCGGCTCACCATATGTCTTTTTCCTCTCAATTTTCTCGGCCTTATCATTTTCTGTTGAGCTCTCGGCTTTTTCTATTTTTTTCTTCTCATTCTCAAGCTCATTCTCCTTGATCAGGCTTTTTTGATCTTCATGAACTTGGATAGGAGTGAGTGGCACAAGCACAATCCTCTTCTCGCCTTGCTTGAAGGAGTATTTATTGGTAATGCCATCGAATGTAACTCCCTTGTCGAATTGCCATGGCCTCCCCAATAGTATGTGACATGCTTGCATAGGGACCACGTCGCATAACACCATGTCCTCATACTTTCCAATTCGGAAAGGTACTTGGACTTGCTTGGTCACACGAACATCCCCACTATCGTTCAACCATTGCAAACGATAAGGTGTTGGATGTCGTAGAGTGGGTAGTGCTAGTTTCTCCACCATCAAGGCACTAGCGACGTTAGCACAACTACCTCCATCTATGATCAAACTACATACCTTGCCTTTGATATAGCAACGGGTGTAGAAAATGTTCTCTCTTTGTGCATGGTCGGCGGCTTTCACTTGGGTTGCTAAGGCTCGTCTGACAACGAGTCCAACTCGTTCATTGACGGGCAATGCTTCCTCTTCTTCCTCAAGGGATGGCAACTCCTCCTTCTCATCTTCATCATCGGTGAGAAACTCACCATTGGGTAAGATGATCATAGCGCGTTGGTTCGGGCATTGGCTAGCAATATGCCCTCGGCCTTGGCATTTGAAGCATCTAGTATCTCGATTTCGCCCCATGATCGACTCAATGGCAGTCTTTGGTGTTGCCTTAGACTCCCACTTAGTCATATCCGGCCTCGGTCTTGAAGGGATGGAATTACTCGGCCCTTTATCCTCTTTCTTTGGTGGTGTAGTTCGGAGATAAGAGGGTGAAAAGTTGGAGTAACTCCGAGTCGAACCCCTCCTCTTAATCCTCCTTTCAATCTTGATGGCCTTTTCCACCAGATCCCCAAGTTCCACATAGTGGTGTAACTCCACTTGATCAGCGATTTCGGGCCTTAATCCGTTCAAGAAGCGTGCCATTGTTGCTTCTCGATCCTCCATGATGTCTGCCCGTAGCATGAGTATTTCCATTTCCTTGTGATAGTCCTCGACACTTCGTGCTCCTTGGTTGAGGGTTTGAAGCTTTTGATACAAGTCACGGTAGTAGTGACTTGGCACGAAACGCTTCCTCATTAGTCGTCTTAGCTCCGTCCAAGTTTGTATGGTAGGTTCACGACTCCTCCTTCGACTAGTGGAGAGTTGATCCCACCACACAACGGCGTAGTCGGTGAATTCGACCACGGCCAACTTGACCTTTTGCTCCTCCGAGTAAGTATTGCAATCGAAGACAAGTTCAATCCGCTTCTCCCACTCTAAGTAGGCATCGGGGTCTGATCGTCCTTGGAAGGGTGGAATTTTCATCTTTATGCCCGGAATGTGGTCATTTGAAGGCCTAGCGTCACGCTTAGACCTACTTTGCTTATGCTCATAGTTGTTGTCTGAGTTAGAGTCGCTAGACTCATGTGCATAAGCCTTTCCACGGTTGCCTTTGGAGCTTCCATGAGACAAC